ATTCGACAAGCCTAACACGTTAGAATTCTTACTTTGCTACTACTGTCTACACTAAAAAGGGAAAAATAAAAACTTTTTAACAAAAAAATAAAAACCGACTTCAAACAAAAGCACTAAAAAGTAAAAAATAACTGATTGGTAGTTTTCATTTACTATACATACCTAATCAAATATTTTCGAAGTCGGTGTGCTTTGGCTAAGTAATTAAAGCCTACCTATTAAATACATACATACCTAATCAAATATTTTCGAAATCGGTGCCAGCCCATACAAAGCAAAGCACACCGACTTCGAAAATATTTGATTAGGTATGTATAGTAAATGAAAACTACCAATCAGTTATTTTTTACTTTTTAGTGCTTTTGTTTGAAGTCGGTTTTTATTTTTTTCTTCTTATGGGATAACTGACTCGGTTTTTAGCATTTTTTTCTATGTACAGACATTCGACCTCTACTGTTTTATTATAGTATAGATTTTCATACGTTTCTATTTTAATGAGAGTATTTTACACATTACCATACGAAATTACAACACAATCTACAAATATAATAATACATAGTGGCAATAATGACCGTAACCTACAATCCTGTTGGAGAAGTTGATAGTTCAATTGAAAATCAAATTGATGTTCTGAATTAGTACTATTGTTACAAATTGAATGGAATTCTATTTATTCGTATTATCTATTTAAGCTATGAATTATTCAGATTGTAGACATGAATATTATGATACAAAGTAACCTTTGCAATGGGGTTTATATTTCATTTGTTTAATTTTTGTACAGGGTTCACAAGAAGGAATTAGCAGACTCAAGACATTAGAAATTCTAATCTATACAGATAAATGAAACTGAAATGTCTGTTTGTAATGTTAAAATAACAGCTTTTTACTAAATGCATATGAAGTTATTTTAGGTACTTATACGAAAAACACAATTTTTAATTTATTTTGTCTGTCTGTCTGTTTGTTTGTTCCGGCTTACCTCTGAAACGGCTGGACTGATTTTCACGGAAAAAATGTGTTCAGAGTTTACTAAGCATTTGAAATATATACGAGTGAGTATGTCTGACTCTAAATCAATGTTAACCTGTAATTAGGTTTTTAGATGATTGACGCGTGTGGTTTTTACAATAAAAACATAATAGTGTAAACATCTATTTACGTAAAGTTTCTTGTACTGTTCGATTCATCATAGGCCTGGGTAAATAAAATTAAAACTTGAGCCTAGCGGGCAGAAACTTTGATAACATAAATCGATTTAAAGATAACCGCTAATAAAATACTTTATTGAGATTCAATTTGTTTGGGAAGCATGATTTTTCGGGTTTCATCAGAGTTTAGGAAAGCAGCCAGACCAAGCTGGGATAGGCTCGTATTCCATATTTTAGTTTTATTTATAAGTTTTATAATACTTTTTTTGTTTCTTAATAGTTTATTAATGATTTTTATATATCATACTGTAGTCTATTTCATTTGTGTACTATACATTAATTGAAATAAGCAAAGATTGAAATTTTATTTTATTTCAATTATTGTGCAAGTAAATTTATTTTTCTGCCTCTTTTATTGACGTGGAAATTGATTAAATTATTTGCTAATAATGACATAATAATTTATATGTAAGTAGCAATGGCCCACGTTCAAACGAAAAAAAAAACTTTTACGTATTAGTATATTATATAAAAAATTCACCATAAAATTTTACTAGTAGATAGCTATGATTGCTTGATTCAGTAATATTTAGGTGATAATTTAAACTAAAAATATTTTTTCCTAATATTAATTACTCGTGAAGCGAGGATGGGACGCTAGTTGATTATATTTTGCTGGCGGAAAAGATTTTCAAAATTACAACAATTTTCTGGAAACAAAAATGAAATTTTTTGTTCAATGATCATTAACTATAAAAACCGGCCAAGCAAGAGTTTCGGGTGCACCTAACATTGTGTTAATAAATAAATAAATACTTCTAAGATTTTTTTTATTAGAATCCATATCACCCGAATAAAGTGACTCATGATTATATTGTTTTCGATCACCCTCCTTTTCTACCTTTTAAAAAATGATGTAAAAAAAATTGAAAATTTTGAGGAAAAGGAGCTGCCAAAACTCAGTCGTTGTTAAGATATGGAATTTTTCCCGTAACCTGCTCTGCCAACAAATAAAGAACAAATCACATCAGCCAAAAATGACAGCTATTCTGAAAACTTAGAGGGATACTTTAATTTGATTTATAAGTAAATTTATACAATAAAAATAACTAAATGCTTATTTAATTTAATAATGCTAATTGAACATTTCAAAGTTCTCTTGAAAACTACATCGCTAGTCATATATTAAGATAATTTTATTAATTTATTTCAGTAACTGAACTAACTAGCTCTCATTATGATCGTATCTTATTTTGCCAGGGTAAGCTTTCATTGTTTTAAGATGTTAAATTTGTATAGGTTTTTACTTTTTATATAATTGTTGACGATAGTAACTTTTGTCAAATGACATGCTTCATTACCGTAGGATTTATGGGTTCGATTTTCGCACTACGAGTATACCTACTAATGTTTATATTAATGGTAGTTTGATTACATGCAATAAACACTGTTACATGCTTCAAGTATGCCATTATGAACTTAGCTGTCAATTTACTTTGATTTAGGATTTGAATGAAGGCAGCGAACTCTATATGTACTGGGGTGACGGATTGAAGAGCAGTGAGAACAGTGGGTATCGTAACGAGACATTCGCCTAAAGTTCATATGCCTGAATTACACAAACCAGTGAAGGTTTAAGGAAAACGTGATTATAAAATATATTTATTTGCTTATATTTTTTTAATTCTTCTCATAACTATTTTTATAAAGTATTTTCATAGCTAAAGCCTTCCCTTAGATCTTAAAAGGAATCTTACTAAGAAATTTTAATTTTAAAAGTTTCATTGCTTCTGAGGCTTCCGAGTTTCGTAATTGACCAGTGAGTTGCGTTTGCTTTTTAGGAGGAGGAGAGAAATTAAATATCGATAAGCAACAGAGACTTCCGCGGGCAAACTCTAGTTTATGTATAAAAATTCTGTTAACAAAATCAAGACTTGCTCATTTGAATTTTAATTATTTATTGGTAACATTGCAACAATGCCGGAAGCTTAGAAATTATTTGATTCCTTTTTTGTTGTGTAAAGGATATTAAAAGTTGAGGGTAAATATTAGTACTAAAGAAAACATTTTTATTAATATTCACTTATATTATAACGACGATGGTGGTTTCACGTACAAAGCTATAAACAGGCGGTATAAGGTAATTGCACAATTACTTCTTAGCTTATACTAACAGAGAGAAATTTATATTTTTGTATTACTGTGAAAGTTGTGTAGAAAATGACTATGTTCGTCAATTCTTTAATGTTTTCAAAGATGAACGAATATATCGATAGTCGAAAAAAAAACCATTCAAGCCAAAAAAAAATTTTTTAAAAAATCAGTCAAAATGTATAAGTATACAAATTCTACCCCCAAACTAAGAAAAAATACAAACATTTTTTTTCGCCCCACTCTAATGTATATGTACATATTATGTGCTGATGAGGACTGGTTTGTTTACTTAATTTAAAATAACCCTATACTGTTGTAAACAAATAATCAGTAGCCGTAAAATAAGCTGCAGTGACCCATTCATAAATGTGTTTTCTATCTAAAGTGATAATTGCTGATGTTTGATATCTACAGCAACCTGCCAAAATGGCACTTTTGAGGATACGAATAACTTTAGCAGTATATAAAAGGAGTAAAAATGTCTTATAATAATAAAAATAGTTTTTAGTTTATTAATCGGAATCGGTCTTAAATCCATACTAATATTATGAATGTGAAAGTGTGTTTGTTTGTTTGTCCTTCTTTCACGTCGAAACGGATTGATGGGTTGGCGTGATTTTTGTGTGATAGATAGTTGGAGGACTGGAGAGTGACATAGGCTACTTTACCGCGGGAGATCATCTTATTCCCACCGGAAAATACGTTATAATACAACCAAAAAATATATTTATGATCAGAATTACTTGAAACTTGGTATTAAGTCTCTTCAATAGGAGAAGAAATTTTGTATGACAACTACGTTTATAGATTTTTTTTGTAATTTTAGTGCGAGCGAAGCCGCGGGTTCTGCTAGTAGCTTATAATAAATAAATGTAAGTTAACATTAATATGTACATATATATATAGTAAGTTTTCAAAATTTAATACTCTCTAAGAAAATACCTAAATAAAAATTTCTTAAATGAATTCATAAAATGTATTCATAATTTTCGATTTGGTAACTGAGCCCGTTCCTATCTGCATATATACATTTCTCTCTGTAGAGGCAGAGAAGTAAATGGCGCAATTAGCGTGTACCACGTGTTTATAGCTTTGTACGGTAACCAACAACGTCCTTATATAATGTTATAATTAAAAGAATTGTTATCTTAAATACTTACTATAACTTTCTTTAAAACCGACATAAAATTAAATGTTTTATAAATATTCTGTAATCTTCCAATGTTATTAATTCATTGTACTGAGGTACTACTATGGTTGATATTTTTATTAATTCTATGTTATAATATATAATCGCTTAATGTTCATTCTTTAAGTAAATAAATAATTTTGAAATCGTAAAATGAAATGAACTTGTAATACCTATTGTATTACAAAACGTTATTTAGTTTCTATTTCAACTCTTAAAGCGTTTTGAAATTTAATCACTTTGGGCTTTTTAATAGATGGAAGTTTAACTTTATTTATCAAAAGTTTAAAACAAAGTTTATACAAAAGGCAAAACAAGAGAATAAATAAAACTGATAAGTTAAAGAAGGAAAGTTTTATCGTAGCCCAGTTTTATTTTCTTTTATCTAAAGGATTTTTACGTTACTTGAGCTTGAAGCTAATTAATAAAATGTAATTTAACGTGATTTATAATTTTTCAAAAATGTCCGTAAGCGTGATAAGTATTTATTTTTACTGTTTACTTACCGTCGGATGATGTAACAGGACTGGCAATTATTAAAAGACCCAACAGTATCGTATAGCGGGAAGCGTATTGTAGGCAATTCATATTGGTTTTAATATTTAACCCATCAGCATTGTAAAGTAAACTTTTCCGTCTATTAGTAATATGTCAACAAAAGTTGTGTCATGAGTTTGCCGGTGCGGTGATAGAGTTCTCTCATTGATTCGGCGGCTCGATGGAAATCGGTTTGATTAAATATTCATTGAGTGGTTGTGGGTCGAGCGACCGGCAAGCGGGAGAGATCGTGGACGCGCTCGCGGCGCGAAGTACGGCGTTATAGAGGCGGCGGGCGATGACGGCGGCCTCGGGGCGCTCCGGCTCAGTACTGCCCGCGCTACGTGAACCTCGCTGCTTTGTCTACGAGTCTCCTACGCTCGCGGCGCTTGCGTAGCCCCGCCTCGCTCTCGAATGAAAGGACGGAACATTGCCAGTATTTGTAACAGTTTGCGTCAAATTGATATAAATGGAGACGGTTTTAATAAAGTGTAATTGACTTTTGCCGACTTTGCGTCGCATTAATTTCGGCCACGCTAAGACGCCTCGGGCAGGTGCTGCGTTAAATACCATCAGAGTAACTTCGCTTTTTGCCATGAATAATCTCAAATTTAAATGAATGTTAATTATGACGAGATTTTAAGTTTATACCCGTAAGATTGACGCTAAGTAACAAAAATAAATTTCTCCTCCTCCGAAACTTTATACATAATTAGGTATGTAATTCTATTTCTTCGTCATTATTTTCTTTTTCCTTGTTTACGAAAGTGTTTTCGATATCGGTATCTTAATTACATTTGTATTTATCAAAGCACTCAATAAATATAATGTATTTATTTTATTCAACGATTCAATATTAGGTTTAAGTAACGATATTATGCAAACGGATGTTTTAGCAACCTTTGCTGTACATTTTAACGCGTAAACTTTCTAATTGTATTCATTGGATTTATACAAAGTGACAAATTGTCAAGGATATTGTTATTTAACAGTTAATCACTAGTTAATATAATCGCGTATGCTTCATAGCGGGAGGCGAGATACAGTGAGAACGCGGCAGGTGTCACGCATTAGACATTGACTTCACTCGTTACGATGATAAAGGAAGGGCCGCAGTGCGAACATTGTAATATGTTAATAACAATAAACTATTCGAGAATACGCTACAAATAGTGATTCATTCATTTTGTTAAGGAATTAATCAACTATCCTCGATTCGTTTTGGCCTCCAATGTATCCCATAGCAAAAATGTCATAAAATTGCTAATCCATATCCCATGGGTAACCTTTTTGTAGGGTAAATAGTATGTTACTTTGGTTGGGCTTACCAGCCATAAGCAAGGGGCTAATAAATAGTGGGTATAAGAAATCAGACAGTTACAGTTTTTTAAAGTTATTTGGATGTATTATTCAGTATAAACTAATATTGTACATGACAGAGCTAATGAAACTTATAGACATACTCGTTTGTTTATATTTTATTTGTAAATATAGAGCATAGATTATATAAACAGAAAATAAAATACTTAATTTTTAAGTATGCATAAAAAACACATGAATGTAATTTAATAGAATAATATTTTAGTTTTGAGTGAATATAAATGCATAAAACTTAAAAAAAAACATGAATTGTTGTAATTTTCTAGGATATTTTCTATAAATATGCTTATTTATACTTTAGTTATGATTATTATATATATTAATTTTTGGAGAACGTTCTCTTACTTTTATTTATCGTTCATGTAAAGCGTTTATTCAGATCAGTTCAAAACAAAAGTTGCTAAAGTAACATTAATTTATATGTTTGCTCGTGATTGGTTTATATCATATATAACCAAACATCTCATCCGTTTGTGACATTTTCACATTTAGAATATTAGTTGAAAATAGGATAATAAGATTATATGGCGGTCGTCAGGCAGCGCGTATGGTCATAGCTTGCTGCGTTTAAAGTAGCCGATTTAGTTTCTGCATTGGGTGGATGTTTTGTGTCTACCCATTTACAAAAAAAAAACTAATATAAAATTCTTTTTAAAAAATAAAGGTGCTCTAGCGTATAGGTATATATATGACATTTATAACACAAGTAAAAAATCCATAGAAGATATTATATATATATAGTTTCTATTTCTTTAAAACAAATACAGCAATAAATCTAAAGTAGACTTGCAACGAATATTCGGCTATTATTCGGTATTTGGCCTATTCGGCTACTATTTTCCTATTCGGCCGAATACCGAATATCTCGATACTACTCAGTCGAATACCGAATAGTTAAGTAATATGTTTTGTTGTAATCAGATAATTGGTAAAATGAAGATGTTGATTTATTTTATAATAATATAAAAGTAAATAATAAGTTCTTTCCTGAAGATATTGCAATAGCAATATTGCAATACAAATCACTACGAAATAAGCCAATTGTGAACCGGTTATTAGTGCTAAAAGTAATGTGTAAAAAATGTGTCTAACTCTTCCCATATATATCTAAAATATTTAATGAGCTCGATCAAGAATAGACGGACATTCAAATTAAAACTCGCCATATTTTTAAATCACTCAATGTTATCAAATACGTGTCATTGAATTCTGTCAACCCACAGGCGTAATAAAATGAAAGGGGATAATAGGGATACTGTTATGTTCTAAATATAGTCAAAATAGTTTTTTTTTATATATTTTTAGTATACAATTTTGACTGTGCTGCAATTTCATTATACGTAGGTACTCGCTTGTGTTATTTTTGTTCATACAAATTAAGATTACATACATCATTTTTATTGGTAAGTAAAATTTTACATATTTTATCGAATATATTGAATAATTAAGGGGAAAAACGTGACTCAAATACAAAAGTATCGAAAACGACGTGACAATAATAAAACCTTTTATTCGCCTTGATTTTTGCGTTGTGTTATTACCTACTGTTTACGTGCTGAATATATTATGATTAATTCAAAAAACCATTTACAAAAACTTATCGGATTCTGATATATATCTCGGAGCTGTTTTCATAGATGTTAGTAGTATGTTTTTACTAATTGTAGCAAAACTAACAATAATATAAAGTAATACTAATAAAGTGTTTTGCTCTTATTTACATCTTGTGTTTAGATGCTAATTTTTGACGTTAAAGAAGTAAATGTTAAAGTTTTTTGTACCGTTAAATGCTTATTCAAGTATACGACATTAATTTCTAAATTATTAAAGTTTCAAGGTAGTCTCTCTTTTTATGATCATCACATAATTATATAAGTTCTCAGAGCTAGAATCATACACATTATTTTATAAATAAATTAAATTAATTGTATATTATTATAAAATAAACGTTTATATCTTAGTGTTATAGTACCAAAAATTGTTTCTATTCCATGATTCCATAAAGCATAGTAAAAATAATAGGGCATAAGGGTAAATCTCCATAAACAAACACCACAATAACGTAGTTTGAGAAAGCAGATATTTTGAAGGATTACTCGAAGATAAATCCTACCTTGTACAAAAGTTTCTTGATTTGGATAAATTCGATAATATTATTGTATATTACCAAATAAATAGGGCTGAGAGACGATAAGCGTAGACAGAAAACGGGTCGGTTATATGGGCGATCCGTCGCGACTAAGCCTCGGGAACCCTTTTTTCGTTCTTCGCAAATCGTCGGAGATTAAGCCAGAAGAGCTCACACCTTTGCGCCAATATTTTTTGTGGTTTAGGCAGGAAAATTGCTGTGATACAAAGTGTTTTTGTAACGATAGAACTCTTTTGTGCCATTAAAACTTTTATATTTTTAAATCAGTGCTGTAGAAGAGTAATATCTGTTTATTAGTTATTTATATTTCTATTTCATTTATTACTTTTAGTTCAATATGATCAATGTCTCGTTCCTTAATACGAATTATGTTACATGAGATGAAAAAATTGCATTGTAAACATTTAGAGAAAATCTTTTTACACGCGGCGAGAAGAACGTTAAAGTTTGTTCGTTTCAAATTCAATATATTATGGCGAGCGTGCTCTCGCTCAGCCGACACCGAAACTCACTCGAGCGTTGCTCACAGAAAATTTATTGTTTTTCTAAGAAAATTTTCTCGCACAATGTTACATCCCCATTGAGCCCCTGGGAAAGAGTCGGAAAAGCTTAATGACATCGGCATTTTCATAGTGTTTGGTAACTGCAATTGCGTTGGCGCTAAAAGCTAAACAGACTGCAAAACGTAGTAAGAGTGACTATAAAAGTTTTGCCATGGCCTTTTAGATGTCGATACTGCAATTATAATCTTTAAATCAAACTACTATAAATTATACAGGACAACTATAAAGAGCTCCCTATAGGGCTTATATAAAAGAAAATTGCCACACAAATAATAAAAAAATATTTTTGATTCAAATCCAGGCACTCTGAAAAACTTTTTACATATATTAAAACAATTTACCATTATTTTAATAATTCGTTAACGTAGCTTTATTAAAATCACTTTTGTGATTTATTAACTCCACTAAAATATGCATTCAAATAAATAATGGTTAAACGACGGCTTCGCTGCTATATTTTATCTTTTATCGCAGAGAACAATTGTGAGTGAAAATAGAAACACAATGAAGTAATTGTTTTCTACAAACAAAACATTGCTACGTAAAAATTACTTACCTATAACAGATTCAAAGGTTAAATGTTCAATAAATGGAACATCATGTATACTCACAAAAAGGGTCCATACGCCAACGGCACAGTTTCAAGATAAAGTCTTTTATCGGACACATAATAACGTTCTGTGAGAAATCGTTAGCCCGTGCTCACGTCGCGGGGACACGTGCGCGCAGGGCACTCCTGAGACTGATCCCTCCATGTGCTTAGATTAAATTTGTTCCTATAAAAATGTGTCCTCCAGTCGATAACGTCGAAAATGTGCAGATGTCGCCGGGCAGTGTATGAAGTTCGCGATAGGGTATACGACGTGCCGCGCCTACTGACGCCCGGGCCCTATCCCAAACATTGCTGGTTGAATAGAAGAATAAAATAGACTTGCTGAATCTTTGTCATTCGATTACAG